CAGACAGCTAGCTTTCTTGTAGGTTCAGAAAGCAACGTTAGGCAGTGGGGGCCGTGGCCCGCAGGCCCGGTCCGTCCCTCAGGGCCCTGCTGTTTCGGTGTGGCGAGCGCGCCGTGTTTGAGCCTTGGCGGCTGGAAGACAGCTAAGAGAGTTAGTTTTCTTGTAGGTGCAGAAAGCGACGTTAGGCACTGAGGGCGGTGGCCTGCAGGCCCGGTCTGTCCTTCAGGGCCCTCCTGTTTCGGCGTGGCGAGCGCGCAGGGTTCTGTTGTTTGGTGAAGGCTCCGTTTGTGATCAGTTCTGCACGGGCCATCGGTCGGTGCGACACTGCTTTCCGTTGGGCGTGCGATGCGTTATTTGAATTTGACCGGAAGCTTTTGTTGAATGCACCACTGTGCCGCATGTTGGACATGTGTGCGCAAGTGTACGGCCTGCAAGCAGGCCATTCGCAACGCGAAATTTTTTGCCGCAGCCATCACCGCGGCGGTGATAGACTTGCCCTGTTGCCACAGTGCTTTGCACAGATTTGGCGCAATGCGGGCAGAGGTATGTGTACACCCGCGGCGTCGCTGTGTCGGGCTCCGCAGCAAGCTGCTGGGTCGATGAATGGGCAACACCCGTTCTGGTTTCGTCTGTTCCCATCGACGTTTGTCTAGCCTCGTGGATTTTCTGAATCTCCTTGCAAACGTCTGCTAGGATTGCTTCGTGTCGTTGACGGGATTCGCGTTGGCGCAAGCGGGCCAAGCGTTGATTCGTGCGATGAGCAAGACGACACACGAAGGCAAAGGCTGTGCATGCATTGCATACTTGTGTACCATCCTGCGTATGTTTCCGACTTTGCTGCCAAGCTGTGAACTCTGCTCGTGGCTTGCGTTCGCTGCACTGGGAACATTGCCAACACCCCCGCTGTTTGGTGGTACATTCTCTGCAGCAGCGGCGGTCCGCGTTGCGAGCTTTCCATGCGGCCGGTCCAAATTCGGCTTCCGGTTTTGCAACGCCACATTTGAAACACGGTTTCTTCATTTCACATGTCAAACACACACGGAAAAAACTACATTGCCGTTGGCGGTGCTTTTCCGGAAAATTGGTCTCGACATGCCACAGCTTGCACACGTTGCATTGCCATGGCGTCCCGGCATCTGCGTAATGCTTTGTGCATTCGCGACAAACGCGATCTTTGTCGTCGCGCTTCCACTGGCCAGCGGTGAAAGCTGTAGATGGCTTGCGCTCTGCGCAGGTTGAACACGCGCGTTCTTCACAATATTTGGCCAGCAAGTCCTGCCAATTGATCGGTTCCCTGCGAAGATGTCGGAGCAGCAGGTCCCGCCCTAAACCAATACCTTTCTGGAATGGAGCGGCGTCAAAAGGTCGAAAGATCAGGAGCTTCTCACGGCCTTGCACGCGGGTAACGGCGACGTAGACGGTAAATGGATTTCCCCTTGGCCCTATGCAAAGATCTGTCGTCACGCCTTCCTTGATGGTTTGGCCTTGTGCGACATGCGCTGTGATAGCAAACTGCGGCGCCAGCGGGAATTGTGTGCGTGAGACACGGAGCTTGGGGCTTCGACGTTGCCGGTCCAAGTACCACACGCGTCTACAGGTCACAACTGGGTAGACGTTTGCGTCCGGGACACCGGATATTTGCCACGACGTGGCGGTGTCAAACTTCACGTATACCACGGCCGGCAGGTTGTTGCACACCATTCCTTCGGGTGCAGGTGTCGCATCGGCAATCGCAGACCAACCGACTACATAGCCCTTGGTGCCTTTCAGGATTCCACGCTTGCGGTCTAGGTGGTCTGTGGCCCGAACAGGCATGCCCACGCACAGCGGCAAGACGCCATACAGCCCACCGCATTCCTTGTCGTGTCGCTGCAACCACTGCAATTTCTCGGCCGTCAGATTCGGCTTTTCTTGGAGGACCGCTGCCGAAGCAAGATCGCGTGCTACAAATAAATACGGTAGGTGTCCTCGGGCGTTTGCCCATTGGAGGGCGCGGACCTTGTTGACGTGATATATTATATATATATATGTAATTATAAATACAATAACAATAATATGTAACCCGCCGACCCCTGCCGACGGCAGCGGGAGCGCGTCAGAGAAGAGATTACAAGCAACAAGTGTCGACAAGCAACGAGTGTCGACGAGGACTCAACAAGAGGCAAGAAGTAAGAACGAAGGACACGTGGAAGCTATAGCAGAAGAGGCCTCAGAGCCCTGCTGTTTCGGTGTGGCGGAGGAGCCGTTTCTGGGCTGGGCGGCTGGAAGACAGCTAGACAGCTATATGGGTGCGAGTCAATAATCGGGTATGGATTGCTCCGCGGTGATCCGAACTATGGATCGGGAGTGGTTACATAAGGTACCTGCTCCGTACCCTTTCGTAAGCGCTCATCATAGCATACAAACTGTGCTGATACTCCTACTCTCTCCTACCTGCTATTACTTCTCCTCCTGCTACTGTTGCTGCTAAAACTGTTGCCACTGCTAGTAGAGGGAGCAGTAAAAAAAAACAACACCAGCAGCAGTAGCGGCAATACAAGGAGGAGCTGCAGTAGCAGTAGAAATAGCAGTAGCAGTAACAGTAGTACTAGTAAGAGTCAAAGTAATAACAGTAAAATAATCTAATGGAGTAGTAGTAATAGTAGCAGCAGCAGCAGTAGTAGTAGTAGTAGTAGCAGCAAAAGTAGAAGTAGAAGTACAAGCAGAAGTAGAAGTAGAAGCACAAGTAGCGCAAGAAGCAGCAGCAGAAGTAGTAACAGATTCGGACTTTCATATTGGCACTTGTTGTGGCGTGACTGGGTTCGGATATGGACCAGGCATGGAACGGGTCTGGATCGGGGTATGGATCAGGACACCATGCTTTTTTAGCTCTACACCTGCCAGGCAAAGTAGAAACAGAAGGACTTGTAGTCATAGCACCACTAGAAGTACAATAAGCACCTAGTGGAAGTAGAACCGGTCTTACAAGCCTCCAAGGTGCACTTGCAATATTGCGAGTAGCTAGTCAACTAGTTACATTTGTCCAACAACCGAAGCACACAGAGAACGTGAGCCAGCACCAGCAGCGAGAGCACGACCAGCAGGAGCAGTAGCAGCAGCTCCTGGGAGGATAATCACTAGTAGTGGCGGCGGCAGCAGCAGCGGAGGCAGTGGAGGCAGCAGTAGAAGCAACGGTAGTAGCGATGGGAGTAGCAGTACGACGACCAGAAGCAGTATATATTAGGATAAAAAGCATCGTTAAGGCCAGCATCAGTCTTTCTTCAACGAGAAAGGGGTATGGATCTGGGGTATGGATCAAGGGTATGGATCAAAGTATGGATCGGGGGGTATGGATCGTGTGTAGCTTTGGCGCCTTGTTCCATACCTTGTATTTTGACTCGTACCCATATAGTTTTCTTGTAGGTTCCGGAAGTGACGTATGTGTCAACTCCCCCTCTCTCCCAGGGGTCGGCGGCAGGGGGCGTAGCCCCTTAATATTCTGAAATAGTGAAAGGTTGTTGTGCAGGACTCAGACATTCAAACTCAGCATAGCATTCCCAATCGCAAGCACAATTGCCAATCTATCACACCTTTGTTAGACTTGAGTTGTTTGAGGGGTGGATGTGGTGTGCCTGACTCCGCCTCTTCGCTCTTCGTTGGGATGGCACCTGCAGGGCAGCATGGCCAGCAATTAGAATATGTTGATGTTCAGGCGCTTGCCGATGCTAGAGCTGCAACTAAAATCCTCCAACCCCGTCGAACATCTACACAGAGAAAGAAGGACACAGTTGAAGTGGTGCCATAGTTGAAAGGCTTGAAAGATTTAGTTCCCCACCTGCCAGGTGAGGGTTGTTAGATTTTATCTAAGTTGCCTTCTCCTCCTCCTGCCTGCCTCCTCCTCTCCTCCTCTCCTCCTCCTCTCGTCGTCCTCCTCTCGTTGTCCTCCTCCTCTCGTTGTCCTCCTCGTCTCGTTGTCCTCCTCGTCCTCCTGCTCAACTGCGACTCGCGATCCACAGTGTTCGCTGCCGGACCTCAACCACGACCATCCACGCCCAGTGTTCCCTGCCGGACCTCAACCACGACCATCCACGCCCAGTGTTCCCTGCCGGACCTCAACCACGACCATCCACGCCCAGTGTTCCCTGCCGGCCTCAACCACGACCATCCACGCACAGTGTTCCCTGCCGGACCTCAACCACGACCATCCGTGCCAGTGTTCCCTGCCGGACCTCAACCACGACCATCCCCGCCCAGTGTTCCCTGCCGGACCTCATGTGGGAAGATATGGGACAAAGAATGTGCAGAAGAAAGCTAGAAAGAATGTCAGAAAGAATGTCAGAAGATATGCCAGAAGATATGCCAGATAGAATGCCAAATAGAATGCCAGATAGAATGCCAGATAGAATGCCAGAAGATATGTCAGAATATATGACAGAAGATATGCCAGTTAGAATGCCAGATAATATGCCAGAAGATATGCCAGATAGAATGCCAGAAGATTTGCCAGATAGAATGCCAGAAAATATGCCAGAAGAAATGCCAGATAGATATGCCAGAAGATATGCCAGAAGATATGCCAGAAGATATGCCAGAAGATATGTCAGAATATATGCCAGAAGATATGTCAGATAGAATGCCAGAAGATATGTCAGAATATATGCCAGAAGATATGCCAGATAGAATGCCAGAAGATTTGCCAGATAGAATGCCAGAAGATATGCCAGATATAATGCCAGAAGATCTGCCATATAGAATGCCAGAAGATATGCCAGATAGAATGCCAGATAGAATGCCAGAAGATTTGCCAGATAGAATGCCAGAAGATATGCCAGAAGATATGCCAGATCATATGCCAGAAGATATGCAAGATAGAATGCCAAATAGAATGTCAGAAGATATGTCAGATAGAATGCCAGAAGATTTGCCAGTAAGAAAATGTATAAATGTCATGGTGGGGATCACACGAAGTAAAGTAATTTTCTTGATTCAGCAAAGGCAACACGTCCATCACCCCTGGGCACCAGGGAAGACCAAGGCGGGTGCTTGATCCAGCAGCGGAGGATCGGGCCAATCGAAGAAGATGCTTGTAACAAAGATCAGCACAAATAACAAATATTTGGAGACCATCGCAGAGGTTGGGCTTTGACTTGTAAGCACCAAAGACAGCAGAATTGCTTGGGCAATATATGATTTTGCTAAGTTGGACCTAGCTTCACGCCTGAAGCTCACTGGAATCTTGATAGGACAGGGAAATCCTCGCATGATGCCCGTAGTGAGCGCATGCATCACAAAGCCAACCCATGCAGACACGGCCGGTTTCTTCAAAGCCACAAGGAAGACTGCCACCACCAGCAGTACTGCGCTGTTTGCGAAGCGCACCGTCCCAAATCCCACTGACCGAGCCGACCACGTGGAGTTGCGAAACACAGCACCGGCAGGTCCAACATGTCTAACGGGTGGGACAGGTCCAACAGGCAGCTTGGGACGCGGGTTGACAAAGCACTGAGACGCACCATGGATCCATGTGTTCCACGTCCAGATTGGCAAAGCCAGGCAAAAAACGGCCAAGGGTTTGAAGGCCATCGAGTGCCTGAAAAGCTGGAAGTTTTTGGCTAGACATGGGTCACAATCTGATGATGCTGGTCTTGACATTGCTAGAAGAAAAGCAATGGAAAACGACAGAAACAAATGAAAAACTACAAGTTGACGGCGTTGACGGACCATGAAATCAAGCATTGCGTTGTTCTCACTGTCATCTGTTTGCCTGGGAACACCATTGTAGGAATTAGTCAAAGACAAACTTTGCTTTGCACCGCTCAGCTGGAATCTTGGCTCTAGCAGAATTGCATTCCAATCTGATGCATGTCCCCTCATGATCCTCATGCTTGGGCCAAAGGCTGCAGTTTCACAAGCAAAAACATGGAGAAAACGAAGAAGTCCAACTACAGCTAGACACTGCGGCAGCTTCGGATGCTATGCATCATGAAACCTGATACAGTACATGGAGACAGGAAACTGCTTCCGTTAGCGTCACGATAATTCAACATATGTTGAACCTAGGATACATATCTACTTACAATCTCCCGTTCCATCTTGTGGCCCTGCATCTGGCATGGATAGCCCATGGCCAACTAAGTTCAGTTCTGAGACCGTGTCAACCTCCAACAAAGTGAATCCGGCCCAATGGTCAGCTACCAGCTCACCTACCGGAGGGTAAGCTCGCGTGCTGCAGCATTTCAGATCTGAGCATTTCCAACACCATCAACGCCATGCTAGCACTTGCAAGCACACAAGCACACGTCTACATGCCTGACATCAGCCAGAACATGCCAGAACCCTGACCCCATGTTGCTTTCTCTTTTTAACTCGAGCTGCAATCCCTGAGGATGATGCCAGTAGGGCAAGAATGAACAGCCTCACCTGTGACAAGGTCATACCACCATGGTTTCCCTGTCATTGGGTCGGTGTACACCTCATACAGGCTTCCTGGTTGCTTTGCCTGAAATGCTCTCATGAGCTCGGAATATCTGTCCGTAGCTGCAGCGGTGGCCACATCACTTGAATATTCAGATGGAGCTCCTGATGATGATGGGAAATGATCCGATTCGGTATGCACCCTTCCTACGTCTGCCACTGGATGTTGTGGTTGCCCGCCAAATGCACTGCCAGCAGCTTGTGTGAATGTTGGCTGTCCAACACCCTGTTGCATGCCATGCTGCATAGTTGCAGGGTCTGGCGGCATTTGCCCTTGAGGTTGCCCACCAAATGGGCTGCCAGCAGCTTGTGTGAATGCTGGCTGTCCAACACCCTGTTGCATGCCATTCAGCATGGTCGGGTCCACTGGCATTTGCCCTTGAGGTTGCCCGCCAAATGCACTGCCGGCAGCTTGTGTGAATGTTGGCTGTCCAACACCCTGTTGCATGCCATGCTGCATAGTTGCAGGGTCTGGCGGCATGTGCCTTTGAGGTTGCCCACCAAATGGGCTGCCGGCGGCTTGTATGAATGTTGGCTGTCCAACACCCTGTTGCATGCCATTCAGCATGATCGGGTCCACTGGCATTTGCCCTGGCATTTGCCCTTGAGGTTGCCCGCCAAATGCACTGCCAGCAGCTTGTGTGAATGTTGGCTGTCCAACACCCTGTTGCATGCCATTCAGCATGGTCGGGTCCACTGGCATTTGCCCTTGCGGTTGCCCGCCAAATGGGCTGCCAGCAGCTTGTGTGAATGTTGGCTGTCCAACACCTTGTTGCATGCCATTCAGCATGGTCGGGTCCACTGGCATTTGCCCTTGCGGTTGCCCGCCAAATGGGCTGCCAGCAGCTTGTGTGAATGTTGGCTGTCCAACACCCTGTTGCATGCATTCAGCATGGTCGGGTCCACTGGCATTTGCCCTTGCGGTTGCCCGCCAAATGGGCTGCCAGCAGCTTGTGTGAATGTTGGCTGTCCAACACCCTGTTGCATGCCATTCAGCATGGTCGGGTCCACTGGCATTTGCCCTTGCGGTTGCCCGCCAAATGGGCTGCCAGCAGCTTGTGTGAATGTTGGCTGTCCAACACCCTGTTGCATGCCATTCAGCATGGTCGGGTCCACTGGCATTTGCCCTGGCATTTGCCCTTGAGGTTGCACGCCTACTGCACTGCCAGCATTTTGTGTGAATGTTGGCTGTCCAACACCCTGTTGCATGCCATGCTGCATAGTTGCAGGGTCTGGCGGCATTTCCCCTTGAGGTTGCCAACCAAATGGGCTGCCAGCAGCTTGTGTGAATGTTGACTGTCCAACACCCTGTTGCATGCCATTCAGCATGGTCGGGTCCACTGGCATTTGCCCTTGAGGTTGCCCGCCAAATGCACTGCCAGCAGCTTGTGCAAACGTCGGCTGTCCAACACCTGATTGCATGCCATTCTGCATAGTTGCAGGGTCTGGCGGCATTTGCCTTTGAGGTTGCCCACCAAATGGGCTGCCAGCAGCTTGTGTGAATGTTGACTGTCCAACACCCTGTTGCATGCCATTCAGCATGGTCGGGTCCACTGGCATTTGCCCTTGAGGTTGCCCGCCAAACGCGCTGCCAGTAGCTTGTGCAAACGTCGGCTGTCCAACACCTGATTGCATGCCATTCTGCATATTTGAAGGGTCTGGCGGCATTTGACTTTGGGGATGGCCGCAAGTGGCACTTTGTGGTTGTTCCGTCACATTGGGCTCTGTAGGATGCTGTCGCTCTCTGTGATTGCTGTCCTGCCAGGTTGGACTTTATGTTTAAATGTGCCGAATATGCAGATAAGGTTTAGGCAGGTTGGACTATGTATAGCTACTATTCTTGGTTTGGGTATGCAGCGATGCACTCTGTCCAACTGCTGGAGAAAATCTTGAGAGTTTGATGACCATTCCAATCCATTGCATGTGACTGTGTGTCTCTGTGTGTCTCTGTGTGTGTGTGCGTGTGTTTCTGTGTGTCTGTGTGTCTCTGTGTGTCTCTGTGTGTCTCTGTGTGTCTCTGTGTGTCTCTGTGTGTCTCTGTCTGTGTGTGTGTGTCTCTGTGTGTGTCTCTGTCTGTGTCTCTGTCTGTGTCTCTGTCTGTGTCTGTGTCTGTGTCTGTGTGTGTGTCTGTGTCTGTGTCTGTGTCTGTGTGGGTGGCTGCGCGCGCGTGTGTTTGTGTTTGTGTTTGTGTGTGTGTGTGGGGGTGTGTGGATGGGTGGTGGGTGGGACGCAGGTTCCACTGGCAGCATTGTGCATACAGAGAGGCCTGAACTGAGTAGTGGACAATGATCTCTGAACCTCTTGCCAACGGATAATTAACTTCATGTCTCAGCCTCCCCTGGCTCCGAATCATCAGGATCATGCCGCTGATGTGGTCGAACATCAACCTGTGGGCAGAGATGCACTTTTACACATCTGCTTATGTGGTCCCCTGGGACTTAAATTTTGACCCATACCTTATCTGGTTTGAGGATTCCGCATTGCATTAAGCATTGAGTTTAAATGGACATCCATCACGTTACACCTTTGTCACCCGCAAACTACACAGCAAGACTAGCTATCACTTGGTCAAAACCAACCCAGACAAAATATCAAAACGAGTTGTTTGGTGAAACACTTGACTCGGTATATCTCGGCATGACGGCATGATGTTATTTTTTGTGGGTCTCTGACCTGAAAGGCAAAAACTTTGCCGTGAAACCTTGAACTCTGAATCCTAAATTCAATCCCTTAAATCGCTCAAATAATCATAAATCGATGACGACTATAATGACTTGTATAAACTGTATAAAGCTACAGAAAAGAAAAGTTCTTTCGCATCGGAAATTCCGCGCATCCATACTTCGGTATGTGTGCTTATGTTTGCTTCCACAGGCAATCGGTATGTGTGCTTATGTTTGCTTCCACAGGCAATCGGTATGTGTGCTTATGTTTGCTTCCACAGGCAAACGTCTGGGCTGGGGCCATGTTGAACCAATCTTAATCAGCCCAGCCTTCCGACAATGCCAACGCCACATACATCTGGAAGGTCCCAAGTCTGATACCGCTGCTGCGTAGAATTTTCAAGGTTGGGACCGTTGTACAAATGGCTATAGTGCTTCGGACCTCCAAGGTGATTGGCCCACATGCCATGCTGATTGGGACAAATCTGGCATGAATGCTCACTGATGCCATGGGCTTCAAGAAGCTCCACCAAGCGTTCAGCAGACTTTTTGATCACAGTCCTCCAACGCGGTTTGCCTCCATTGGTTGTAGGCCATTTGTCCGTCCAATGCTCCCACTGCAGATCATCATTCATTGGGCAAGCGAGTTGGGTACCCACGCAGTACCATTCTTCTGCAGGGTTGGCTGCATTAGTCCAAAATAATCAAGAAATTCAAATCTCTGCCGAATGACTGAAATAAACTGTTCATGGTGATGGAGTTTGCTGGAGATTGTGTTTGCGTCAAACCTTTCGCACTGCTTACGAAACCCAAGGAAAGTCTTACGACTAGATGGAATTTATGCCAGCCCAAGACTAAACAAGTATATAAAGGGGAATTTAGAACGCTGCTCAGATGGGACCACTTAGTGATGGTGGTGATGAACACCCTTGTGATGAGCCTACCTGTTCTCACAGACGACACTACCGATGATTCAGTTAGTCCATCCATGTCCATCCCGAGCCATAGTTTTGACACTGCCCGGCCTATTGTTGGAAGGTCCTGTGCTTTGCGGACTTGGATTCCTATAAATGAAGGCCGCCGTTTCACTCTCACCTCGCCAGTGAGGTAGTTGATGATCACTTGTCCTAAGACAAAGGTCCAAGAGTGCTCATACTGCCTCTGTAACTCCTTGCTGTCTTTGCACCTGACTCTGTCCTTGGACAGTTTCTCCGCCAGATATTTGAAGTGGTTTACGCCACACACGTGAAGTACATAGCCAGCCCTGCCATCTTGTCCAGGACAAACGTTACACACTGGCGAAATTCCGAAGGCACTGAGGAGTTCGAATACAAATTTCGATGCATCTTGAAAGCGCTTGGCATACATATCTCTGCTTGTTGGGGTTCCCTCTTTAGGCGCCTCGATCAAGCACCAATTGCAATCTTTGGAAACGTCTGTGAAAAATCTTCTGATGGTGTTCTCAAATAGTGGGTTCCTCAGCTCTTCAAAATACTCCTCCAAGTTTTCGTGGGGGATGCTTTGCTCTGGGCCCGCCATTGACACCATCCACACGGGATGACAGGATCTACGTCTCGGAACCAGAGGCTACGGCGGACACAGTCGCAATTCAGTTCCCCTGAGCTCAGCCTCTTCAATTCCTCCTGCTGAACCACCAAATTTTCATTCCGCTCTCTCTCTCTCTCTCTGTCTCGCTTTCTCCCTCTTTAAATTCGAGGCCCAAAAGTTCAAAAACATGTATTGTATTTCGCACAATCTGGGACTTCAGCAGAAGATTCCCCAACAGGACACGGCGTCACGCAACGTCATAACAAACCATAATCAAAAATCCAGACGTATTTCCAACTGTATATCCTTCTATCTTTCTGTCAAGTCATTAAGCAATTGGCTCTTCCGACTGTCACGACATGTCACGACAGTCCGCCTTTCCAGGTGACCAACAACACCAGATCTGCTGACTTTAAAAGCGGCAGCTGCGCTCGCAGCACGCTGCCAGATCCCACCTGCAAGTTGGCACACTTCCCATCATCCCACAGACTGAAGGATCTTCAGGAGATGGAACCCGTTGTTGTCATTTGTTGTCATGAGATTAATGCAGTTTGATTATCATGCACGTCCTACATATGATTTTCCATCAGTTTCTCAGTTCGAGGATCACTTCAATGACCACGCCTTCCCAGTGAGGAGCACGACACGCTTCGTCCAACTCCCAAGCCTAGTCAGGTGAAATCTGCAGCGTTTCTAAAGTGGCCTCAAGACTTGGATTGAGTGTGGAAGGTCCTCTTCATGATGGCATGGTAAGATCTCGTATTATAACGAATATACACATATACAATCATATATATACTTATTTATTTATTTATTTAGTTATTTATATACATATGATACACATTGACATGTATCATCATGTATCTATACGTATGTCCTATTGTAGATACATACCAGACCATACCTATATATCAGTGATGCATCTCTGTGCGTGCATCTGAGACGTCACTGTGAGCCTCTTCCATGCGAGCGGTCCAACCATCGTGGCCAAGCAACTGCGGTTCCTGAGGCTTGGGGCGAGCTGCTTGGCTCCAGTAAACTGTGCGCGGGGCGACCCCCATGCTGTGCACAATTTGCAGCCCTTCCATTGGGAACCCAAGGAGATCTAAGGCCCCCTCTGTGGACTGATCAGTGTCCTGGCACAGGCACCAGAAAAATCATCGAAGAGACGCTGATGATCAAAAAATGATTGCCTCAAAAGGGCAATCAAAGTATGAAAAATGTGATGTTCAGTGATTTTTTATATTTTCATATATTTTCCATGCAAAATTAGAATGTCATCACCTTGTGTTGACTTTTGCGTCTTAGCCAAGGAAGCAGCATCATGATTGCTTGTCCATTCACTTGGGATGAATCGAGGTAAGGGCCCAGCTTTGCCCAAAGCATGGCAGAGTTGAAGGACTGAGCAGGCTGGACATTCTTCACGTCAACATCATACTCATACCGCCCATCCAGAATTAATCATTCATGTAGCAGAATTGCGACTAGCATGCTTTAAAAACTGAAACCGGCTGTCAATGGCAAATCACAACCAGCAAATGATGGCAAGCAGCAATGCCTTCGGATCGTCATCATAGGAAACTGATGCATCCCAGACCTAAGGAGCCATAGAACCCTTGGACCGACTTTTGGACGGCCACAAAGCGCATGATCACTGCACCTATACCCGCAGCTTTTCCACCAGTTCCCGGCATTGCTGTGTCTGGGCTCCACATGCGCTGGTCTCAGCAGTGGGCGAAAATCTCAGATCATCTCTGGACAAACCTCAAAAATCCTCAAACGAGGACCTCGGCCGCTTCACCACGTGCACAAGCGAAAGATGGGGATCCTTTTGGCGTAGAATGTGCGTCCAGCAGTTGCTTCTCCTCGGCAACAGGCAATAGCTGGCCAGTGGGACATGATGGGAAGTTGGGAAGTGCTGGCAGTGGTAGGCCAGTTCACCTCATGGCTCTTGAGCCTGGTAAGCATAGACATCATTATACCGTACCATATTATGCCATAAATACCACCAAACATCATGGTTCATATGATTTCACCATACTATACCATACTTGAGGGGTCAGCTGCATCACAAAGCCTGCTCCAGCCCCAACTTTGCGTCCTGGGCCGTGAAATTCCAGGAGAAAAGGTCCAGGTCTTGCTGCAAATGATCGAAATTGGATGACTTCGTGACTGCTGGAATGCCTGGCGCCCCAAAGGTGTCAAAGCTCACAGCAATCTCGTCAAATTGGGCACAACGAATGGGTAAAAAGAAGGAAACCGAAGGAATAAAAAGCCAAAAACACCATTGATAAAATATCTAACCGAACATAGCAAAGCGAAACTCATCACACGTGCTCCACAGTCCAAAGTCTCACTCTTGCCAAATACGGTAAGCTGAAAGCTGTGAATTCTCAACCCCTTGTAGCGCACATGAGACCTATTTAGGGCCTTAGGGTGCCACAAGGGCCATTTACAAACACAACCGCTTCCACAACATCGGCGCGCCTTGGGAGACAACCCACTTCAGGGCCACCTGCACCGCAGATTTGTTGTGAGCCTTTCCAATGCTGGTGGTGAGGTTCCCGCTGACGATCTCTGAACCTGAGCTCCCAGTACATGTACCAGCAGCAACTATGGGGGCAAGCAGCCGCCTATCTGGAAGTGGGATAAGAAAGCACAACCGCATGTCGCTTTTGCGGCAAGTCTACCCAAGCATCAAGTCAAGTGGCTAGCGTGGTGGGTCACGGAATTCGCCAAGACTGAATATGCTTGCAGCTGGATACCCTTGGCTCTGTGGTAGGAGACAAAGCCGCTCGGATCGGTGCCCATGCCCAAGTGAAACTGCACCTGGAGGCGTCAACTTGCGAACTGGTGGGCAGCACATGGCAGCACCAAATTGCCATGAGGCACGAATGATCAGACAATGGTCATTAAAAGAGCATGAGCTGCCTTTAAATTGCATGAAATGCATACATTTCCCCCCTTTGTTTGAAGGGCTTCCAGTATTTTGTCTGCGGCCTCCATGTGGACAAATTCCATCAATTTCCTACATATTTCATCCTTTGTCGATAGGTTTCTTGCGGTTTCTTGCCTGGTTGACCATGGGCATCGTCAAGTTGTCCATGGCCTCCAGGCACTGGTAGCAGCTGGGGCAGTAGTTCGACACGCCAATGGCTCGGGCCTTGCCCTCGGTGTAAAATTCGGTCATTGCCTTCCACTGGGCCCTGACCATCTGGCACCCTCCAGACCAGTTGTTGCAAGACCGTGTGATCATTGAGGAAATGGGTGGAAAGTGCACAATCACCAGGTCCACATAAGAGAGATTCAGCAACTTCAAATCAGTTTCGAGGTCTTTCTTGGTGCCAGCATAGCAATCAAACACGTTTTTCATGGACGGATCCAAGCCGCAGCCAGGCACTTTGGTTTCAACAAAAATCGATTCGCGAGGGTGACCAGAATCTGCAATAGCCTTGCCGACACCATCCTGTAGGGTTTCATGAACGTAAGTGGAAGTTAATGATGTTAATGGAAGTGAGAAGTGATTCCTCACTTGAATATCTGAACATCCATTGTGAAATATGTGACTAGAAAAATGCCTCTGTAAAATTAAAATGCGACTGTATGCGACCGTGCATGAAAACCTCATAAGGCACATCATAGGACAAGATCCTGATTGTGGTAGTCCAACGCTGTATCAACCATGCTAAATCCTGCTTTCAAGGCAGAAGTAATGGAGCTGTACGCTTCTGAGCTATTGTACCTTGGCTGAGGCTCAGAGGCTAACAAATCCAAATTCAGAGCTGGAAACAGCTTCATAAGAGCTTTCCCATGTTCTCTGAAAGGTCTGAAAGGATGCCCTGTGGAATGCAACCTCCCGTGACAGTGAAACAATGTTCTATCATGGTCTACCATAGTTGTTCCAGGGTACTGCCAAGTGCCTGCTGCCATCATTGGCATCTCCACACCATTTCGTAGCTTCACCACGTATTTAGTTGTTGGCACTGGCACAGCGGTGGCCACAGCCGCGAGGGCCAAAATTCGAATCATGGCAAGCACACAGGGGCCAGGCATTAACAACGCGCTGTGAGAGGAACAGCTTCAGAATGCAATGCAACATAGTGCAACGGTATGCAATCAGCAGAGAGTGAACAGCAAAGAGTGACACAGCCTGTAGATCACAAGAAACACAGCTGTCAATCTCCACCGTCAAGACATGTGCCAACTGCATTGAGCAAAACTCTGCATTGGGTGCAGCTGTTGGGGTGTTCACAAACCGGCCGTCTTTGGGAAATATGACGGCTTTGACATCATGCATGTAGCTGGCGGAGTGTATCGGACAGAACCAAATTTGCCTCGAACTCAGCCTCTGGCCCTTCCCAACTGGATCCGAGACAGGCGGGAAACCTACGAATTCAGCTGTCTCTCAGCCAACACAGAGATTGCCTTCTTGCATCGGCTTCAAGGGGCTGAAGTCAAGACCCCAAGACAGCAGGGATTCAATCTCATGCCTCGTCTTGACAGCTTCCAAGGACAGCTGGGATTGCTGAAAGCAGAGCTGCACTCTGCAGCATGCCACGCTCAGTCTGTAGGTTTTGATATCCGCTGGCATTCTTTGTTCAATTAAATGCCCGGAGTTTAGGATGGAAGAAAGAAATTGGCCCATACAAGGTGGATTGATGTGGAATTAATCAACATTAATCAATGTGATCTAACCTGGCAACACAGCTGATTCAGACAAGCTAATTATCTTCAAAAGCAGCTGCTTTTCAACTTTCAAGCCAATTTGGTTGAACAAGTGATCACAAACTGTCACTGTTTTGACTTTTAGGACTTGGAATGCCATAATGATGCTGCTTCATGAGCCAAGATTCCGCATCCAGCACAATGTGCATAAAGACTCATCAATGTGCTGTTCAAGCTATTCATCTTCTCGCTGCATGCAGAATGCAAACCCGCCAGCACAGGAGCAATTTCAAAACTTGATGGTCATAAATAAAATTCTTCATTCTTCCTCTTGATGGATTGCTGTGCTGGATGGACAAGCATTGCCAAATATTGCCAACCTGCTCCCCATCGCCAGGGACGCTGGCCAGCAGCACCTGCTGCCGATTCCAAGGTCAATTCCTATCATGACAAATCGTACATGTTCATCCGCACTTGTTCCCTACACTGGATGACTCTGACCAGGATCCACATCTGATTTCCGGAGCCTTGAAGCGCTCAAGTTGGAAGGCAGACTCCAACTCTTCCAGGCCTTGCTGTCAGAATCCATCCCCGCAACGGCAACCGTTGGCTGCGCCACTTGGGGCGTGGACTGCTTGACGAAACCTCGAAGCGCAGCAAGGTTCGAATGGCAACAGGGCCAGACCTCAGTCTCTGGTGACACAAGCCGGGGCATACCGGAACTGAGTAGATATATGTATAGATATCCCAGAAAATCCCAATCACTCATTTTACCCCTGGGTTACAGTAAGTTGTGCATTTTTACTACTATGGTGGGTAGATTGAGTCATTTGGCTTTCAGGGTGTATATATATATACACATAGCATATTGCAATTGAACCATTGCACAGAATAGATTGAAAATAACTGAACATACTATGAACATATGCGATATATGTTTTCCAAGCTCCAGACCCAAGTTTCAAATGTCGCTTGCACCTGAGATGTAAAAGTCGAAGAGTCCCAAGGAAGACATGAAAACTGAAAGAGACTGGTTGAAAGCAAGCGTACAGAGGGTCACCAGGTAAGATGATGCAAAGTGTTAACATCATTTAACACCCAGAGCGTCTTTGCACGGCCAAGGACACCGCTGATGCAAATAGTGAGAGATATCTTCAAGGTCCATGTTCAACCTGAGGGTTCCAGATAGTTCCAGCATTTTGTGCTGCTGTACTCATACTAAGAGCGATGAATCGGCGGCACCTTGCAATCTTGTATGCCAACAGGGAACATCAATATCTGAAATGTAATTCAATTCTATGACTGCAGGTTCAAGGGTTTGGCCACAAATAACTTGGCACAGCCAAGTCCAAAAACTGAGCCACCTGCAACTGATCTTCCAAGGTTGCCAGTAGGCTGACACCTCTTGAAGGTGATCGATTTGGAAGAGGCAAACAAATCACAGGAACAACCAGGAAATTCACAAAATTCACTGCGAAGATTGCTTCAGAACATGACATGTGACATTATGTCGGTCATTGCTCCTGCCCTCTTTTGTGTTCACCGCTCACCGTATTCCAACAGCTCGCCCCAGCCTATCCGAAAAACCGCCTGTGAAACGGCAAGGTGGGAAGAACTGGTGCACTTCGCAGACACCAGTCACCCACAAGTCACCAACAGCGATCTACCAGGTCTACCAGGTGCCTTCCATCCCAGCAGGAAGAAGACGTCGTAAACATGCGCCAGCAAGTCGGGCCTGCACTTGGCTGACTCGGCTGAGTCAGTCTGGTGACCAACGGCAACGGCTCGACAGGGCCCTTGTTCAGAACTTGGGCTGCCCGCCCCAAGCTGTAGGAGAAAAGCGTCAACACCTTGATTTAGTGACAAATGGTACAATGAATTTACTTGCAAGATACTTGCAAGCATCACCTGCAGTCGCAGGCTCTGCCAAAGGATCATTTCTGAGTTCACTACACATTGATGTGCGAATATTTCCAAGCTATGTCCATCCTGCCAGGAACCCTCCATCTGACCATGTTTCCCTTCCATTTGACCAACCCTCGACGCTCCTCCCGCAAGTGTCGCCAGAGATGTGGCAGGTTTCTTTGCACCAAGCCGGAGAACTGGGAAACCCGCAGCCTGATCCAATGTGACACAAATCAAAACCAGAAAGGATCAGTCTTTACTGCATACTACAAAAACCAATAGAAGGCATTGGAATGGACCAATCAAATGTGAGAAATGGTGAGGAATTGGATAAAACACCATACAGCTGGCGCTGTACGTGTGCACAATTAATCCATAGACACGGTTGGAGCAAATGCACATACACACACAAACACGCATGTATTAATTGATTAGAGTATGTAATCATATGATATCAAATGTATAATTCAGCAATTATGTCATGAATGAATGAATGCTTTCTGAAATAAACAAAATTATTCACCCCGCTTCGCGTGGGGTGGCCGCCCACACCGCAGGTTTATTTCGGTCCGTGAGAGGGGCTAAGGGTGGTTTTCCCCCGTGGGGGCTCCCCAAGCTAAGAATTTTCACTTTCCCCCCCCGTGGGGGCTCCCCAAGCTAGGGAATTTTCACTTTTCCCCCCCGTGGGGGCTCCCCAAGCTAGGGAATTTTCACTTTTCCCCCCCGTGGGGGCTCCCCAAGCTAGGGAATTTTCACTTTTCCCCCCCGTGGGGGCTCCCCAAGCTAGGGAATTTTCACTGTTCCCCGCCGTTTCCCAAGCTAGGGAATTTTCACTTTTCCCCCCCGTGGGGGCTTCCCAAGCTAGGGAATTTTCACTTTTCCCCGCCGTGACAGCTTCCCAAGCTATGGAATTTTCACTTTTCCCTCCCTTGGAGGCTCTCCAAGCTGCGGAATTTCAAATAGCTAGACAACGACGCCTAGATAGTCCCCCAAATCCCGTGTTCTTTGAATGTGTTTCCATGTTTTTGCAATGGTTTCCTTCAAAGCGCTTCAAAGCACGGTACTTTACACTTTTGTCGCCATAAAACCGGTCGAAAACATCATGTTCGACAATGCTTCCAATTCCCTTATCTCCCCAACCGTTGAAAATACCGCTATTTACAGTGTTTTCTTCAATTTTTCCATGTTCCAATGCCGGTAGCCAACTCCAACATATATATAAGAAATCCTTCCAAAACATTGTTTTTGACAGTGTTTTTCCAATGTTTCCAGTCAAACAGACGGTAATTTACACGTTTTTTGCCATAAAGGCAGTAAATCCTTCCAAAACATTGCTTTTGACAGTGTTTTTGTAATGTTTCCAGTCAAGCATACGGTAATTTACACGTTTTTTGCTATAACGTCAGTCCAAAACACTTGTTTTTGCAGTGTTTTCAATGCTCTGGCATCCAAAAACCCTGCAAAATCTTGCTATGTACAATGTTTTTTTCATTTTTGGCCGTTTTTCCATTGCCGGAAAGCTACCAAAATGACCCAAAATTCCATTTCAATACCCTCTTGCGCTCAGACACCCAAAAATCCTCGAAAAATGTCGAAAACACCACCGTATTCTGGTCTCGGTGCGAAACCGTTTTTGGCCCCCCCCCCACCCCCAGCTAAAGCTGATATAGCGACTGCTATATTAACAAATGTCATTGAGCATTTAGTGTTGCTGTTTTGCCCCCCAATAAGCACGCCTTCACCGCCAAAGCGGTGTGGGTGGATTTGTTAATGATTATATAATGCATGAATGAATCAAGTGAAAAACACATGTCACAATGTACATAAATATGGTCGTGTATCAAACACCTATAATTACCAAAGAATAAGCATAGGTTCCAAAACAACTCCGGCTAAATGACCGGCATCACAACTTGGAAAAAAAAGTGTTTACTCCATAGCTGCACCAAGCTGGGCTTCCAGCGGCACCAGTGGAACCTGGGCCACCAGCAGTGTCAACTGCAAACAGATTGCACGATCTTTAGGCCACAACCCCTGGAGCAAACACGTAGCGGAAGTGATATCCTGGACAAGGCACTGACAAAACACTGACAAGGCATGGTATAACAATATGAGTCGGTATGGCATAGCCGCCATATGGCGTAGGAATGAGCATCCATGGCCTTCAATTCACACATCCGGGGCCTTCCAATAGCGCGAGGAGCAGCCAAAAAGCCTCCTGAATGGAATCTGCATGTATCAACCTGGGCAGGACGGTCGCAGTGCGCCTTGAGGCTATGGCAGTCTGACAGTTGTGGTTCTTATGCCTTATTGATCCTTATTGGGATTCTTTTGAATTCATCAAAGTTAAAATTTGACATCTTTGCCTCATCAAAATTCGACCAACAATCTCCTGAGAACGTCGCAGGGTAGCTGCCACAAAGTTCATGCCCTGGCAGTAGCCGACGTTGGGCCTTGCCAAACCAGGAAGGTGGCTGCAGCGATTAGCACAGGAAATGGCTTTAACCACTGCACACAGCACACCCATGCACACGCCTTTCAGCCAATCGAAGGGATTCAAAAGAATTCATATCATTTCATATCACTTTGATCTGGCTCTATAGGATTCTGGGGCCCAGACTCTGCCACGACAACTGCCTGCAATACCTCCACATGTTCAGGCCAACATAATCCAACGTATAACATATGACGAAAAGATACGAAAAGAGATTCTACGGATTTCTACGGCATCTCAGATCTCAGCCCGCCTGCGACAGCTCACGTCGACCCACGGCACCTGCAGAACTTTGGACTGCTTTGGCCACGAGCATGGTGATTCTCCGCCAGGCGTTGAACCGTTGGCCTGCCTTCCTCTCCACAGAAACGTTCGTGGGTTGGATATGTCCGATGAACATCGCGTTCAATTTCTGAGATCTTCGATTGGGACCTGAAACGGAACGCGAGATTGATTAGGTCTTGTTTGATGGCTAGCTCTTCTCTTTAGAAATGCAATTCGATGCAATTAAATGTTATTTTTATATTAGTTGCAGTATCATATGTGTGCAGCATAAAGTACAATAGATATTAGAAATCTATATCTATATATAGATAGACATGCATACACAACCATACATATACACATATAATCATATATAATTATATATATGTATATGCACACTATATACACACACTATATACAGATAGATAGCATCTCCATGTCATGGCCGTCGCTTGAGCTTCCAGGCAGCGGCTGCTGAAGGAGGGCATTGAAGGCGTCTTCCGAGCTTTGGACGCCCAGCTTCCGGCACCAGCCGGCTTCAAGGGCTTCAACCTGCAGCGTTTAACACCGGGGAAAACAGACTCGGAAGATGAGTCCAACATACTCCAACATACTCTAACTATTTCAATATATCTTGATAACATCATTTATAATATTCATAAAATATCAATGACTTTCTGATGAAGGAGAATGCCAATGCATCTAAGATGCTGCAGTCAGCTGCCTCCACAATTTCAAGCGCTGCTGTCTCACCACCCCACCTGACAGTGTCTGGTTGGAGCTTGAAAGATTTGATCTATGACGTTCGAGTTCATCATACAACACATGCACTCTCAACAACGCGTTCTTTTCAAAGTATTTTTGCACAATTTTGCACAGGTGTTCAAGATATATCTTTCATATTGTGTCGCTTGTACCTTCTAAACCTTTGCAAATTGACCCGAGGCATCTGCCATTGAGCACACACAGCTCCAGCCATCTTTGTTCTGCAGACAGTCTGTGCCAACATGTGCCTTAGGACACTGCGCGAGATACTGGAACAGTGTTTGAACATGATGAAAAGCACTAGCAGCTTTCCAGCTGTGTCCTGCTCGCATTGTAAACAGCCAAGGGGTGTGGATCTCACAACGCGAACTGATACGCGCTCTTAGCACACGGCAGGCTGTGCGCGCTTGCACAGCATCTACAAGTGAGGTCCAAGAGAAAAGGTGTGGACAAAGCAACCTCAGTAGTTTAACAAAAGTTGCCTTCCCAGACACTATCCCTCTCCCCAACTCTACGACATCGGCATGAATAATCATAGATGAATGGTATGAATCGTCAAACACCCAACGAGGCCCCAGCCGCTGGTCCAAAAGCTGCACAAAGGACCAGCCGTTTCTCTTCTTCTGCACAGGTGAGATGGGCACCGGCTCGGACACTTTCTCCAGGCACGATCCATCCAGAAAATTGACAGCCGCCTGGCACTTGGAGAAATGAATTATTCAAAAACAACGAAGGAAACAGCAAAAGCAAAGGCTGATGATCGGCTGATGCGACATAGCGAAACTTGCCATCCTGCTCTTCATTTGGGCTGGACACTTGTGCTCCTGGACATCGAAAGTGGCACCGGTTGCAACACAGGAGCTCCCTGCAGGTCTCCTTGGCCCATCGGGGCTCCATGTCAAAGGAATCCCATGGCTTCGAGCCCTGAGATCTCCTGGCCCATCTCCACCATCTGGGATATAGTGCGAAGATGTGCCAAGTGCATCCAGTGATAAGATTGGAATAGTTTGGATTTGGATGGATTTGGATTCACATGACAACGCCCCGGTGGCGTATGGAAATTATTTCCGTTGTGGATACCATTGGATATCTATCATAGCCTATCCTGAAAGCCGCGTGTCCGTCAACCTGACCGGAGAGGTTCAAATGCAGATACGGTGCACCATAAGCTAAAGGTAATTGACTGCGCAAATTGGCACAACTTGACTAATATTTGAAGGATTCCTGAGCTGCATGATTTCTACATCTTTCCTCAGATTGTAATTCCTGAACCAAAACAGCAACACCACAAATGACAAATGCAAGGAGGATACTACCCTCAACGGCTGCTGCAACTTCAAATCGTCGGCTGCACGACATGTTTTATCCTCTCATCGACAGCCCAATGACAATTGCTGCAATCCCACTGGATCCCATGCCCACCAATCATTCCAACCTTTTGGTTGCAGCTTGGCTCTGGATCTTGTCACGGACCAAAACCGGTTCCACGATTCTTGGCCGCGTGGTAGGTCTAAGCTGGGAAACCGTTGAGATGGCTTGGGGCAGCTTGCTGCTCTTGCTGTCAGCCGTTTTTGGCAGGAAAGACTTGGATATCTTGGATGACTTGGGAATCTTCTCCATGTCTGGTTGCACTTTACTACACTTTGCTGTGTCGTTTTTTGGCCAATGAAGGACCAACTTGAACAACTCCCCAGGCTTTGCCAAGATGTACGGTGGAATCCCCACTGGCTCAGCTTCGATACTCGTCTTGAAAAACTGGAGCTTCTCTCCAGGAGGCCCTTCGACGCAATTCGAAGAGATTCAGATGAGGCGGCCGGTCCTCTCCCAATTCTTTGGAAACCTTGAATGCCTTGGCCAACTCCACTGCTTTCTGGTCATGCTTGAAAGATTGATTCAAAAGCTTCAAATTATTCAAATGGATGGTCGCTTCTTTTCCCGCACCCCACAAGACAGTTGTCTTCTGGTCGGTGGTTAAATCCAGAATTCCAAGCAAGGCATGAAATGTTGAGATCGGTACATATCCAAGAGCCGCGCACACAACAATGTCAAAATGTCCGGACACGCCGGCCTCTGCCAACTTTTGTCTAGCCCGTTCCTTTCTGGAGCTGGGATCCAAACTGGGATTGACAATCTGGGTCCAATCCAAGCGTAGCGCAGTAATCCTCCCGCGGTCCCCGAGATTTGCCTGGATGTTCTTACGGATAAGCTGAACTGCTTGGTTGGAGGCATCCGTGGCCACGACACTTGCCCCAGCAAGAGATGCAAAGATGGCAGCCAACCCAATGCCAGCACCAAGCTCCAGCACACGCTGATCTGAGAACGTCTTTGAGGCAGCTCGTGCTTCCATCCATCGCATCATCAGGTAGCCAGACTCCCACAGCACCAGCGGCACCCTCTCCGGTTGGTAGATCTGCCATTCATTTTCAGGTATCTCCTGGTAGATTCTCAACAGACCTTCTGCGCTGACAGCTTGCGCAAAAGGCTCTCGCAGCTTCACCAAAACTTCTTTGGAATGCCAGTAGGGGATGTGGAGTTGATTATCTGAATCCATGCTAAGCGAGCAGCATTTTTCGAAGGTAAAGAAGGAGTTCCAGCATCGTTCACCAAACGATCCGTCAAAGATGCAGCACATCTGAAAGACAAAGCAGCCTTTGATCATGCGCTCTCTCCAGGGCAGTGAAGCAGGACACTCAGCCGAGTACCAACATGAAGACAAGGCCGATCCAACCAAAGCTGCATGCCGCACCGTTGCCATGACTGCCACGTATTGAAGTAACAAATCTGTCACGTACATTTTTAGGTCATTTTAGTTCGAATGTAAATGTTAGGAAAGTGATGCTAGTGTATGAAGTTGGTATTGCACTCTGGTCATCTCTGGTCGGTTTTTGAAGTAGACCCCGCGCGGTCTACGCATTCGGGAAAAAATGGGATTGAAAGTTGCGCTGTCTGACCTGAACGCCTGAAAGCATGCTCTAAGACCTTTCGGCTGATAAGTTGAATCTGCGGTTGAAATGCTGCTTTGGTCCAAAGATGTCCAAAAGATTCCCTTTTTTCCAGGGAACTAAGGCTCAGATTGCTAGAAGAAAAGCAATGGAAAACGATAGAAACAAATGAAAAACTACAAGTTGACGGCGTTGACGGACCATGAAACCCAGCATTGCGTTGTTCTCACTTTCATCTGTCTGCCTGGGAACACTATTGTAGTTCTTAGTCAAAGACAAACCAGCTGAATCTTGGCCCTAGCAGAATTGCATTCCAATCTGATGCATGTCCCCTCATGATCCTCATGCTTGGGCCAAAGGCTGCAGTTTCACAAGCAAAAACATGGAACTACAGCTAGACACTGCGGCAGCTTCGGATGCTATGCATCATGAAACCTGATGGAGACAGGAAACTGCTTCCGTTAGCGTCACGATATGCTGAACCTAGGATACATATCTACTTACAATATCTTACAATTTCCCGTTCCATCCTGTGGCCCTGCATCTGGCATGGATAGCCCATGGCCAACTAAGTTCAGTTCTGAGACCGTGTCAACCTCCAACAAAGTGAATCCGGCCCAATAGCTACCAGCTCACCTAGGAGGGTAAGCTCGCGTGCTGTAGCATTTCAGATCTGAGCATTTCCAACACCATCAACGCCTATGCTAGCACTTGCAAGCACACAAGCACACGTCTACATGCCTGACATCAGCCAGAACATGCCAGAACCCTGACCCCATGTTGCTTTCTCTTTTTAACTCGAGCTGCAATCCCTGAGGATGATGCCAGTAGGGCAAGAATGAACAGCCTCACCTGTGACAAGGTCATACCACCATGGTTTCCCTGTCATTGGGTCGGTGCACACCTCATACAGGCTTCCTGGCTGCTTTGCCTGAAATGCTCTCATGAGCTCGGAATATCTCTCCGTAGCTGCAGCGGTGGCCACATCACTTGAACCTTCAGATAGAGCTCCTGATGATGATGGGAAATGATCCGATTCGGTGTGCGCCGGTTGCAACACATCTGGAGCTCCCTGATGCAGGTCTCCTTGGCCCATCTGAGGGGCTCCATGTCAAAGGAATCCCATGGCTTCGAGCCCTGAGACCTCCTGAGTGCCCATCTCCACCTCCATCTGGGATACCTGAGAAGGGGGGACGAAAGCCAGCCCCTAGCCGGAATCTTTTTTGTTCTGCAAACTGTCTTGCTCCGAACCCCAACGGACGCTGCTCTCTGTTGAGCTTCGGATCCATATTTTTTTCAATATGCTTGCCTCTATCTTCCTAGCTTTTTCAAAGCTTTGCCTTTCCTCCATGTCATGCCTTTTTCCCGAATGCGTAGCAAGGGTTCCCGTTTCACTCTGGGGGTCTGGGGGCTGAGGGTGTGTTCGCTCGACGTTGCGGTTACGTTCGCAACATTTCAACCTGTTTTATACACTCCACACTCTACACTCCCAACTTGCCATTTTACACTCTACACTCCACACTTTACACTTTACACTCTACACTCCACACTTTACACTTTACACTTTGCACTGTACACTCCTCACTCCACACTTCACACTCCACACTTTACACTCCACACTCCACACTCTACACTTTACACTCCACATTCCACACTTTACACTCTACACTTTACACTGCACATTCCACACTTTACACTCTACACTTTACACTCTACACTTTGCACTCTATACTCTACACTTTACATTTTACTCCTCGCGCCGCACTCCTCACTCCACACTTTACACTCTACACTCCACACTTTACATTTTACTCCTCGCGCAACACTCCTCACTCCACACTTTACACTCCACACTCCACACTTTACACTCCACACTCTACACTTTGCACTCTACACTCCACGCTCTACACTTTACACTGTACACTCCTCACTTCACACTTTACACTCCACACTTTAGACTCCACACTCTACACTCCACACTTTACACTGTACACTCCCCACTCCACACTTCACACTCCACACTTTACACTCCACACTCCTTACTTTACACCACACACTCCACACTCCACACTCCATACTCCATACTCCACACTCCACACTCTACATTTTCCACTCCACACTCTACAGTTTGCACTTGACACTCCACACTCTACACTTTACACTCTACACTTTACACTCTACACTTTACACTCTACACTTTACACTCTACACTTTACACTCTACACTTTACACTCTACACTTTACACTCTACACTTTACACTCTACACTCCACACTTTGCACTCCTCACTCCTCACTGCACACTTTACACTCCACACTCCACACTTTACACTCCACACTCCACACTCTACATTTTACACTTCTTACACTTTACACTCTACACTCTACACTCCACACTTTACACTTTACACTTTACACTGTACACTCATCACTCCACACTCCACACTCGACACTTTACACTCTACACTGTACACTCTACTAAACTCCACACTTTACACTTTGCACTCCTCACTCTTCACTCCACACTTTACACTCCACACTCCAAACTCCACACTCTACACTTTCCACGCCACACTCCACACTCTACACTTTACACTCCACACTCTACACTTTACACTCTACACTTTACACTTTACACTCCACACTTTACACTCCACACTCTACACTTTCCACTCCACACTCCACACTCCACATTCCACACTCCACACTTTACACTCCACTCTCCACACTCTACACTTTACACTCTACACTTTACACTCTACACTCCAAACTTTACACTTTACACTCCTCACACCACACTCCTCACTCAACACTTTACACTCCACACTCCACAGTCCACACTTGACACTCCACACTCTACAGTTTACACTCTACACTCCACATTTTACACTTTACACTCCTCACTTCACACTTTACACTCCACACTTTACACTCCACGCTCTACACTCTACACTTTACACTCTACACTCCACACTTTACATTTTACACTGTACACTCCTCACTCCACACTTCACACTCCACACTTTACACTCCACACTCCGTACTTTACACCCCACACTCCACACTCCACACTCCTCACCCTACACTCCACACTCCTCACTCCACACTCCTCACTCCACAATCCTCACTCCACACTCCTCACTCCTTATCCACACTTTACACTTTACACTTTACACTCCACACTCCACACTTCAAACTCCACACTCTACACTTTCCACGCCACACTCCACACTCTACACTTGACACTCCACACTCTACACTTTACACTCTACACTTTACACTTTACACTCTACACTTTTCCTCTACCCTTTACACTCTACACTCTACACTCCACACTTTGCACTTTACACTGTACACTCCACACTTTACACTCCTCACTCCACACTCGACACTCTACACTCCATGCTCCTCACTCCACACTCCACACTTTACACTCAACACTCCACACTTTACACTCCACACTCCTTACTTTACACTCCACACTCCACTTTACACTTTCCACTCCACACTCTACACTTTACATTCCACACTTCACACTTTACACTCCACACTTTACACTCCAGGCTCTACACTCTGCACTTTACACTCTACACTCCACACTTTACACTCCTCACTCCTCACTGCACACTTTACACTCCACACTCCACACTTTACACTCCACACTCCACACTCTACATTTTACACTCTACACTTTACACTCTACACTCTACACTCCACACTTTACACTTTACACTTTACACTGTACACTCATCACTCCACACTCCACACTTTACACTCCAGACTCTACACTTTACACTCTACACTTTTCACTCTACACTCCACACCTTACACTTTACACTGTACACCCCTCACTCCACACTGTGTCAAAGATGGTGTGTGACAAAGTGGTGTGTGACAAAGTTGTGTGCGAAAGATGGTGTGTGACAAAGCTGTGTTTGAAAAATGGTCTGTGACAAAGTTGTGTGTGAAAATGGTGGGTGAAAGATAGTGTGTCAAAAAGTCGTGTGTGAAAGATGGTGTGTCACAAAGTAGTGTGTGAATGAGGGCCCATCTCCACCTCCATCTGGGATATAGTGCGAAGTACATCCAGTGATAAGATTGGAATAGTTTGGATTTGGATGGATTTGGATTCACATGACAACGCCCCGGTGGCGTATGGAAATTATTTCCGTTGTGGATACCATTGGATATCTATCATAGCCTATCCTGAAAGCCGCGTGTCAACCTGACAAGAGAGGCGGTTCAAATGCAGATACAGTGCATCAAACATAAGCTAAAGGCAATTGACTGCGCAAATTGGAACAACTTGACTAATATTTGAAGGATTCCTGAGCTGCATGATTTCTACATCTTTCCTCAGATTGTAATTCCAGAACCAAAACAGCAACACCACAAATGCAAGGAGGATACTACCCTCAACGGCTGCTGCAACTTCAAATCGTCGGCTGCACGACATGTTTTATCATCTCATCGACAGCCCAATGACAATTGCTGCAATCCCACTGGATCCCACTGGAATTCAGCATTCAGCGCTCGTATGTACACAACATAGGTGCGAAACTACAGTGAAAGCAAGGGCGGAAATTCAGCTTTGGAAGCACCAAGCAAAACAATTTAGAATTATATCAAGTAATATACTCTATATATATATACTACAGTATAATTATATACAATGCAATTCCCAGCAGTTGCCTCTGCCCACCTCCCTCACAATTGTGAGGTTGCTGCGCGTCTTCCCAGGTTGCCTCGACAAAGGATGGACAACGGCTGCTGCAAAAGGCTGCAAAGTGAGTCCCCAGCACCTCGTCGAGGAGGTGCCATGAGTGAAGGACTGGAGGCAGGGACAAAGGCGGTGAACAGCCTCGAGCCGAGCTTGGCACTGCTACTTGGATCTATTTGGGTCTAGGGTGATCGTGGTGGAAAGTCGGATGGGTCAAATAAGTCAAATGCTTCAAAGATCTTCAAAGTGTGATGACGTGTCATGCATATCATCTGTATATCCATGCTTTCCATAGCACTGAAATTCTGCCGAACCCATCAGAGCCCATGAGAGTCTTCTACTATCTTCTACCTTTTTGTTTTACTTTTGTGAGGCTTGCGCGTTGCTGAGGAAACTGCTGTTGAGCATTGATGGATCCCAGACCGCCAGTAAGCGGCGGCAGGTCAGAGGCCGGGCTTCGAGTGCCTGGTTTTTAGAGAACATCGCTAGGTGAATCAAGCACTCTGAGAGGAATCGGAAACAGAAAACATCAGAAAACTTTGGCATATTTAGACTAGCAATGACTAGCCAACTCAATATCAAATTTGTATGTTTGACAGGGGCTTGTGCCTTGATAGCTGCTGAGTGCCACCAATGCGGTACGCCTCAAGTGCTAAGGCCCAACAAAAAGATCAAAAAGCCCAAATGGGCCAAAACTCCGAAACGCGCAGAGTCACGGAGTATCTCGTGGAGTTCTGGTTGCCCCAATGTTTGGCTGAGGGCATCACAATGTCTTCCGCTGGAGCTTTGCCAGGCCTTTGAAACGTTTTGAAACTAGAAACTACCAGGAAATCTCAGCATGGCGAAGACTTAGAACGAATTGCACCGCGGAGGAATACCTGTGGCTCTGTATAGCAATGACAGCATGATGCAGCAGGATGCAGCACAGGTCTTTTCTGCAGCACATAGAGCTGCGATATCTTGCGTCGGGCTCGCTGTCACCTGGCACTAAGAAATCTAAGAATGTGGCATGAAGTTTCCCTGGTTGCCCTCGCCTAATTCACTTGCCTCAAATGGACCCAGTGATTCCACCATGCCTCTGCTGCCCAAACAGCAGCTGAAAAGGCGGAGTTGTCTGTGTCTTTGGTGCGACCTGCACCCAACGATTGACGATCCCATGGGCCAAGTGAACCATGAAAACGCATGCCTTGTGTCATCCGCCACAGCAAGGACATGGCAGTGCGCCAGCCTTGGCACGGTCCACATATTTGCGTACCGAGTCATACCACTAGAGTCATCAGTGAATCAGAAGGTTCAACAGTTCAACATGTTTCAACAATGTTTCACACATATGCTTCACCTTCACTATCTAATCATTCTAATCACTATCCAATCGATTCTTCCACTGAGGTCCAGTACCACTTCCGTAACCACAGGTGCGAAGAGGTGATCGATAGCTTTTCTGGTCTGCTTCCACCAGTGCCTTCCAGCCACATGTGGGATGCTAAACCACAATCATCCACCAGGAAATGAAAAGTGTAGGCCTGCAACAAATCCTGGAGGACCTCTAAGGAAACCGTCCAAGTCAATTGGCTCTCGCAGCACCTTGTCTCAAATCCCATGGTTGAAAGATGAACTAATCACTTGGCTGAATTTCTCTGTGCTCAATTCCACTGGGCTCAACTCAAATTCCAGGAAGTATGAAGGCTCCATCTTTCCCCTTGTGTTTCGCAGTCTAGCCACGACATGGCCGTATTGAAGCACATCATGAGATCGTCATTTCGTAACGTAGGGCTGTGCACATGCCCGGCAGCACGCAGGAGAGACCTTGACAGCAGGACCGTTCCAGGGGTTCTACGAAATGGGAGAATCGATTGGCTGAAGGAAAGCAGGAGGCAACAAAAGCAAATCCAAAATAATCCAAACACATTCACTCCAATTCACTGCATACCTGGCATACCTGGCGTACCTCAGTCCTCCACGGCAACACGGCAACACTGAGGGACTTCTTCAGTGCAACCTAGCCACAGTGCCTCCAGCCATAGCTGTCCGGAGCTGCAGGCGTTCAAAGCCACGGCATAGCACACCTGTGCCAAAACGCGAGACACTGAAAAACTGCGAAAGTGTCACACATGTCAACATATGTCAACAAATCATAACACTCGTAACAAATCAACAAGCTTTCAGCCGTTTGACACCTCGAAAATCGTACAAGTCCCATCCAATCCCATCAGCGGACCACTCACCTGATCAACACGGATCCGGAAAGTAGTGGCTTGGCCAAAGAGCTGTAAGGCAATCCGCCACACTGAACTGCACGCACTCACAGCCTCTGGCCGCATTCAACACAGGCATGGCATGGCAGACCAATAAACTAAGACAAAAATGAATCTTGTTGAAAAGATCTTGAAAGATCTTGACACCTTGAAAGCATCTGGAACTCAACCCACCAGCCCCACATGCAGGTGCTCACAGTGCCACCCAAGCACTGCATTGAAGAAGTCGGTGGAGACACTGACACCTGCAAGAACTCTGTGGTTATAACAGTTATAAGTATAACATTTATACCAGTACTAGTATATAACAGTTATAGTTATGACATAACCTCTACAGCTACACCAATGCTACAGCAACTGGCACCTCTCTGCTGTGAAATCTGCCAGTCGTCCATGGCCATTCGCCAATGCCCCGTCCAGTCGTGCAATGCGCTGCTCAGCTTGGTGAGAGACAACAAGGCCTGGCAGAATCTGATGGGAAAAGCAACAACTTGGACAGATTTGTGGACAACCCCCAACATATCCCATTATAAGCATTATATGATATCATATCTGTATATTACATATATATATGTGTGTGATTATATATGATTATATAAATTATATATGATTATATATGAGTATATGCTTGTGTCATATCTGCCATCTCTGCTTGACATTTTGTTCATCTTTACATCTGAACGCAACATGCTGCAGCCAAGGCACGGAGTTCCAGAAAAAGCCTTTGGCTACAGCAAGTGCAGCAACACTCTCCTTGCATACGGACGCAAACAGTACAACTGTCTAAGATGTCTAAGCCATCTTGAATTCTTGCTTTCGACACCCAAACCAGCCTGAAACTATCCAAAAATATGCCTCATTGGCTCGTCGAGTGCATCAACATGGATCAATATCATCAATCTCTAGGTTCCAAGGTTCTGCTTTTTGATCTCGGGGCAAAGCACTGCGCCAAAATTGCAAGGCTTCCGACCAGCACGTCGTTCGTGAACAGGCCCCCAGAACTGCTGAAAGGGAGGCAGGATCCTAAAGAGAAAAGCTGCATAGAATTGCATTCCATAACTTCGTGTAGCCACTTCGATTATACTGAGCCACGGGCAGGCTCCAAAGTCGCAAACTTCAGATCCATCAGAACTTCGATGGATCTTTGCCAATCTCCTGAAACGGCATGAAACGGACACACACATGACCGCACGTGATATAGTATGCCCATGTGTGCTGCTTCAGTGCTGCTGTTGACAGGGAAGGTGCAACCACAAATCGGTCCAGCTCCGTCACAAGCACTCAGAAGGGAGTTGAAGGTCACCAGGTTTGGGGTCAAGCGCCTGAGGGTCACTGGTTCGAAAGAAGTTGCCAATCTCAAACGAAGCATAAAAGGACATGGGCCGGATCTTTGCCAAACATTAACTGCTTCAGAAAGCAGTTGTCAAGTTGTCAGGCAGAAACTTCCATCACGTGGATCTCAGCATCATAAAAGCATCATAAAGGCATTTGGCTTGAGGCACTGATATCGCAGCTCTGGCAGGAACGACGCAGCATGCAATGAGCGACCGCGGCCACAAGCAGTGATGACCTTTCATGATGGCTGACATGCCACCACCAACAGCTTGGGACAGAAGATGAGCTAAGAAGTGTCTGACAACGTGAGGCTTAAGAGCATGGAATTGGCATCTGGTTCCAGTAGCAGCAATTTAGATGGTGGACACCAGTTAGGTCTGCCCATGATTGACTGTGCCAAGTGGCTGAATTATATCCCACAATGTCTGGAGACAAACCTGCACCTCATATCCACGTGAATCAACTTCCATGCAGAGATCAAAGAGTCGGAAAGAATGAAAAACAGCACGAGTAAAAACAATACATCCCAATATTTGAAACTGAAATCCTGCTTGCTGTGAAGACACCCTCCTGTTGTCCATGGAGAATTTGCATAACTGGCTGCCACTGCACTGCAGAGGAACATGTGCCAATTATTGTGTTGAAGAGAACAAGATCCTTGGCATGACCAAAGGCCAGGAAAATGACGGATGGCTAGACAGATCCTGACAAGGATGTTCTTTTTGGGAAAGCTGAAGGGGCCGGTTTGGCATAATTACTCATTGTCTTTAGTTCCCTCTTGGCAACTTGGTTGTTCAATGGGGTTTCCACTCTATCAGCCAGCCAGTGAGAAAATGACAGCCGAGTTTCTGCTTCACACATCCGATCTGTCAGCTGTGTCAAGGCATTCAATCCCCAGTTCCAGGGAGCTGTAGATGTGCAAGACGTCATGGCTTGCGCTGTCACCACCTCTCAGTCATATTCATATATTCATCACTTGGTGACGTTGTCTTAAAGCATATGGAAAGTCTTGGGAACGTGAGCCCGTCACGCCTTCATGAGGCCAAAAGCAGCAGAAGCTGCACTCCAACAACTTCGCGAACATGCCTCCGAAGGCTGAAGGCTGATCAAAGGAAGAAGGTTTTTTGATGTTTTTTGTATGGCTCAGTTCTGACGGTTATGGCCACTCGTTCCAAAATGTTCCATTGGTTTGCTTCGCAAGTGTGAAAAGTACAAATAGGATTATATAATTGAACTACATTAAACGATGATACAACTACTCTAAGTCAAGTGTTTTCCTAGTGTTTATTCTTGGGAGGCGGAGCTTCCAAGGGTTGGCTCTCCAGCTGTGAAAGGAGGAAATCGAACATATATATAATTATATAATATATAAGATCAGATTAAGGAAAGTAGACCGAATGTGCTGGCCCAGTTTAACTCTTCATCAGTTTCGTCCCGCTCACTCAAGAATCAGATGTCATGTCGTGATCGGTTCACTGATCAATTGAATATATTGAATACAGCGGCACAGTGCCACTGATCACCTCACCGACCAGGCCTTGATCAAAGCATTCAAGCTGATATTGTCAGGCTCAGCCGCCACGGAGAGCATATGTTGAAAAATGGACCGGGCATTGTCCTTGCAAGACTCTTGTGTCGACCAAAGGACCCAAAAATATCCAAAGTGCCGGCACCATCCATTCCACTACCATCCTGAATCTCCCCAAGACAAATGACTATCAACCGCGCCGCTATCTGTGGGATCTTTTCTTCCAAATGCAGCACACGATCGCAACTGCAAACGCAATGACATCAGGAACTTCAGCAGATCTTCTGGGCACTCTGAGAGGGTCCCCCGAATCATCTGCCAGTTGAGCTGCGTCCATGGGTGGGACGTGCCAGGATTGAGGACGGTGGCCCGTACTCATGGCCGCCAGGATCTTATGCAGCTCACAAATGAGAATCGCCGCCATTCCGAACGCTCATCAAGCTTCGTTATACCGCCGGACTGGAACTTAGAATGTCAGCCTCGTTTTCCAAAATTTTGTGGTTTGAACTTAGAATGCCAGCCAAATGGGGTATCTTAGAATGCCGGCACATGTGACATTCTAAGTTCCAGTCATGGGTGAGAAAACCACAGTATTTCCCAATATTTGAGGCCAAAACATGTCGCAAACAGTTTATAGACTGACGAGAAATATATCCCAAAGCATTCCAAGTTCCTAGTTCAACCCCCTCATGCATGATACGTATTGCCTGGGGCAACCATGTTTACCCATCTGAAGGGTTTTATCAAAACCTTGAATATATAGTGACGGATTGAAACTTAGAACTCCGTTTTGGAATTTACATACGGCCATTACGGAACGACACCGCGGCCAAAATCTCACCGCAGAAGACAATCTTATACCCCATAGATTTTCATACTAGAGTTAGAATGTGGCAGCACACCGTACGGAGTTTATCATTTTTGAGCACCGTTATGTAGTTTTGGGGCCAAATCCGGCAAACTTAGAATGTGTACATATGATCATAAAATATCATATGTGTTCATGGGCTCTGTGAACATATGTTCGCTTTACTAGAGTTAGAATGCCGCCAACACACCGTAAGGAGTTTATCATATTTGAGCACCCTTATGTAGTTTGGAGACCAAATCTGGCAAACTTAGAATGTCCATATATGATCACAGGTGTTCATCGGCTCTGTGAAAATACACCTGGCCACTTGAAAATAAGGTTTATAGAAGCTCTATGGAGGATTTTTGAGGGATTTATGGAGGATTAATGGAGGATTTATGGAGGATTAATGGAGGATTAATGGAGGATTTATGGAGGATTTATGATGGATTTATGAAGGATTTATGGAGGAATCATGGAGGATTTATGGCGGATTTAGGCAATTCATTTGTGAGTACTACAGTGGAAAGAACGTTCACTTTATGTATTCGTTTTCAATTAGGCAATTCATTTGTGAATACTACAGTTCCAAGAAAGTTCACTTTATGTATTCGTTTTCAAGTAGGCAATTCATTTGTGAATACGTTTTCAACTAGGCAATTCATTTGTGAATACTAAAGTTCCAAGAAAGTTCACTCTATGTATTCGTTTTCAACTAGGCAATTCATTTGTGAATACTACAGTTCCAAGAAAGTTCACTTTATGTATGCGTTTTCAATTCGGCAATTCATTTGTGAATACTAAAGTTCCAAGAAAGTTCACTCTATGTATTCATTTTCAATTAGGCAATTCATTTGGGAATAGTAAAGTTCCAAGAAAGTTCACTTTATGTATTCGTTTTCAATTAGGCAAGTCATTTGTGAATCCTAAAGTTCCAAAAAAGTTCACTTTATGTATTCGTTTTCAACTAGGCAATTCATTTGTGAATACTAAAGTTCCAAGAAAGTTCACTTTATGTATTCGTTTTCAAGTAGGCAATTCATTCGTGAATACTAAAGTTCCAAGAAAGTTCACTTTATGTATTTGTTTTCAATTAGGCAATTCATTCGCGAATACTAAAGTGGAAAAAAAATCACCAAAGAAAAACACCAGAAAAACCAATGAAAACCAATGAACAAAAACAATGATAAGCAAAGAACAACACATGAACATTTTTGAGAACCAAAGAAAAATCTATGAACAAATCAAGGAAAAACAAAAGAGAACCACAGAAAAACCAATGAAAAACCAAAGAAGGAACAATGAAAAACAATGGAAAACCAAAGACAACTTTGCCAGCATTCTAAGTTACCTTTTGCCAGGGATTTTTGGTCCCTGTTTTTTCGAGGTTTTCATCTTTAATGGGGAAGGAAATAAGAGACACTTTTGAGGAAAAAAAGGAATCTTGAGGTGCCTTGGATCCTATATGTTCACAAAACCCTGTAAATATGCAGTAAATTGCATTGTTTCTTGCATATGTGCTTCAAACGGAGTGGAGTTATTTTTCTGTTTGCTGTTTTTTTGGGGGTTTTATGGAGGAAAAAACACTGGCAGGAGAGAACTTAGAATGCCATTTTAGACCTAAAATGTGCATTTTGTACGGCAATACTGTGGTTCGGGGTCTGGCACATTGAAACATTCACACGCCGGCATTCTAAAATACCCTTAAAAACAGGGTTTTTGGCGGCATTCTAAGTTCAAAAATCAAAATTTTAACAAACTGGGCGGCATTCTAAGTTTCAGTGTGTCACTATATATATATATATTAATATATTAATATATATATATATATATATGTAGCTATTTATCTATGTATACATATATAAATATATACTTGTTTGGGGTTTGTGTTCTTTCAACTTCCGACCGCCAGCGCCAAATGCAGCACGATGCATGGCTGTCCCAGCTTTGTGTGCACGGCCAGGCACACACAAGAAAACCAGCAGCATTGTTTCACAAGAACAGACATCATGGTTTATCTATGACAATTTTATAACCCATAGATTTTCATACTAGAGTTAGAATGTGGCAGCACACCGTACGGAGTTTATCATTTTTGAGCACTGTTATGTAGTTTTGGGGCCAAATCCGGCAAACTTAGAATGTGTACATATGATCATAAAATATCATATGTGTTCATGGGCTCTGTGAACATATGTTCGCTTTATACCCCATAGATTTTCATACTAGAGTTAGAATGCCGCCAACACACCGTAAGGAGTTTATCATATTTGAGCACCCTTATGTAGTTTGGAGACCAAATCTGGCAAACTTAGAATGTCCATATATGATCACAGGTGTTCATCGGCTCTGTGAAAATACGCCTGGCCACTTGAAAATAAGGTTTATAGAAGCTCTTATGGAGGATTTTTGAGGGATTTATGGAGGATTTATGGTGGATTTATGGAGGATTAATGGAGGATTAATGGAGGATTTATGGCGGATTTATGGAGGATTTATGATGGATTTATGAAGGATTTATGGAGGATTTATGGAGGATTTATGGCGGATTTAGGGCAATTCATTTGTGAATACTACAGTGGAAAGAACGTTCACTTTATGTATTCGTTTTCAATTAGGCAATTCATTTGTGAATATTAAAGTTCCAAGAAAGTTCACTTTATGTATTCGTTTTCAACTAGGCAATTCATTTGTGAATACTACAGTTCCAAGAAAGTTCACTTTATGTATGCGTTTTCAATTCGGCAATTCATTTGTGAATACTAAAGTTCCAAGAAAGTTCACTCTATGTATTCGTTTTCAATTAGGCAATTCATTTGGGAATAGTAAAGTTCCAAGAAAGTTCACTTTATGTATTCGTTTTCAATTAGGCAAGTCATTTGTGAATCCTAAAGTTCCAAAAAAGTTCACTTTATGTATTCGTTTTCAACTAGGCAATTCATTTGTGAATACTAAAGTTCCAAGAAAGTTCACTTTATGTATTCGTTTTCAAGTAGGCAATTCATTCGTGAATACTAAAGTTCCAAGAAAGTTCACTTTATGTATTTGTTTTCAATTAGGCAATTCATTCGCGAATACTAAAGTGGAAAAAAATCACCAAAGAAAAACACCAGAAAAACCAATGAAAACCAATGAACAAAAACAATGATAAGCAAAGAACAACACATGAACATTTTTGAGAACCAAAGAAAAATCTATGAACAAATCAAGGAAGAAAAACAAAAGAGAACCACAGAAAAACCAATGAAAAACCAAAGAAGGAACAATGAAAAACAATGGAAAACCAAAGACAACTTTGCCAGCATTCTAAGTTACCTTTTGCCAGGGATTTTTGGTCCCTGTTTTTTCGAGGTTTTCATCTTTAATGGGGAAGGAAATAAGAGACACTTTTGAGGAAAAAAAGGAATCTTGAGGTGCCTTGGATCCTATATGTTCACAAAACCCTGTAAATATGCAGTAAATTGCATTGTTTCTTGCATATGTGCTTCAAACGGAGTGGAGTTTTTTTTCTGTTTGCTGTTTTTTTGGGGGTTTTATGGAGGAAAAAACGCTGGCAGGAGAGAACTTAGAATGCCATTTTAGACCTAAAATATGCATTTTGTATGGCAATACTGTGGTTCGGGGTCTGGCACATTGAAACATTCACACGCCGGCATTCTAAAATACCCTTAAAAACAGGGTTTTTGGCGGCATTCTAAGTTCAAAAATCAAAATTTTAACAAACTGGGCGGCATTCTATGTTTCAGTGTGTCACTATATATATATATATTAATATATATATATGTAGCTATTTATCTATGTATATATATATAAATATATACTTGTTTGGGGTTTGTGTTCTTTCAACTTCCGACCGCCAGCGCTAAATGCAGCACGATGCATGGCTGCCCCAGCTTTGTGTGCACTGCCAGGCACACACAAGAAAACCAGCAGCATTGTTTCACAAGAACAGACATCAGGGTTTATCTATAATAAAGTTCCTTATTTTGCGCCATCAGAAATGGAGGAATTCACACACACACATATATATATATATACGTAAAAAACATCCTCGGGTGTAAACTTAGCATGCATTTCACAAATAATCATTTTTTTTCCCGCCAAGTGAGATTTACGTATATATATATATACATATATATACGTTTTCGTCCACCTTACCCCCTAAACTTAGAATGCTTCATTCTAAGTTGTTCTCCGTGACCCCCATTCTAACACGGGTTTGGAAACTGGGGGCCCCTTCTAAGTTTTAATCCGGTACTATATATATTCAAAAAGCTTTGAAAGCACAGCGCAATCGCACTCTCATGCCAAAAAATTTGGCCCTTTTTCACTCTTTCCCTCGAAATCCCAGCGTTTTGTTTGCTCTTGGAACGGTCCTGTATCCCTTCCTGTGCACAAGTTTGGATTCCAAAATATTGAAATGGGTGGTTTTGGAATGATTTACTGCCTTAATTTACATTGAAATGGGCGCCGAATCTCTGAACAACAGGGCAAAAACCCCTGAAATGTCTGCATCAAAAGGTATCCAAAAGAACAAGTGAAGCATGTCAAAATAGAAAAGGACCTGACACGCATTCTAAGTTAACATCTGCAAGAGCCATTTATCGAAAAAATAGTCAAAAAGTTGCGGGAGCACATATTTCTATATTTTGCCGCTACTTTTTCCAGTGGGTACGGTTCCAAAATGGCATTCTAAGTTTCGGTCCGTCACTATAAATGCTCAACAAGCAAAGCCACAACTCCACCCCACTTCTCCAGGTCCCGTCAGGATGTCCACTTTCTGTGTCTGTGTGTACTGAACCCTCGGGCGACCAATGCGTCGCCTCACCTGCTCTCCCTTGCAAGGCGCTCTCTTCCTCAGCCACTTTGGATATCTTTTGATGGCACAAGGCAATGTGCCCAGTGAATCAACACATTTGAGTATCGTAATGCTTTGACACTTCCAACCTGCTAAGACCCGTGTGATTCTGCAGAGTTGCGAAGTTGCCGCTTTGCAAATTGCAATCCAACCTTAGTCTTTTTGAGACTGGACTTGGCAGGTGAAGTCGTTTGCTGGGCATGCTCGTATCCCTGACATGCTCGGCAGACTGGTGAAAATATGAAAGGAATACTTGAGACCTTCAAGTCGAGCTAAGGAGCGACTACCCGGCGGACCTCTGGCGTTCGTCCACGCCTGAGGCACGAGCCAATCAAGTCGCCAGTGCACTTTACAGTTGCAATCTTATGCACTGTGCCCCCATGGCTCACGCAATCGCATACATTGTCAGCATTCAAAACTGCTTGCGCTGCTGGAGTCAGGCTCCTGGCCTCACCAACGTGCAGCCGTGCTTGCAAGAAGTGCGAAATATCAACAGGTCTCCACAGTTCAAGTTGGCCTCTTGCTTCCGGCCATCAACCTTGGATACAGTATACCAGTATACCAACACTACATTGCCGTGGAGCAGGAATGATCGCCGCAAACACGCTTTGGGAAACCTCAGGGCCCCCTTGCAATCGTGAAGAACCTTCCGCCGTTAAAGTCTTGCCCAGGCTGACTCAAGAGCAGCAGCATCTGCAAGGGGTATGACCTGAAGTAGTCGGTCTAGTTCTGGAGTCTGGAACAAACAATCTGTTCTTTCCAATAAGCGCCCAGCACTTCTCCATAGATGTCACGGTGGGCCCTGTTCTCCCCTCCCTCCTGACAGAAGTCAGGACTGCCCACCATTGCCCTTATTCACAATATGTAACATGCATGTCGTCACCACAGCGGCTGCATAATGATGAATTTGGCCCTCCCACTATCTCGGCCTGGTACCACAAGAGCAAGTTGCTTTCGCGAGTCTGACCTCTTCGTTCACACAACCTCAACGCATCTGCCAATGACAGGCAATGACGATCCATAAAGCCAAACCAAACATTGAGGCAGAAATCCAGAAGCCTTCAAAGAAATTGAAGCGAACTTTGGTCCGAGGAGCGATTCAAATTCCTGCAAGGACTCCGGCAAGCCACCTCTCCTTTCTCGCACATCAAGTTCGTTGCAAATGCTCCGACCGCAGCCGGCGACCTTGCCGGCAACTGATGCATTAAGGCACTGAATCTACTGTACTGTGCGGGTTTGAAGCGAACATCGTTAAACATCTCACTTCAATGCATGGCATCTGGCCTCCAAACAATGCTGTTGCAAGAACTCATTGGCAGAAGGCAGGAACACCTCGTAAGCCACCTCCCGCAGAGTTGACAGGTGTAAAGGCAGCTGCCTCAAATAGTCGTACCTGCGTTTTGCATCCATTGAATTAGCACCAGTTGGCCAAATGTAATCCAAGTACAGTATGTCTGCCAATGTGTGCTCTGCCGCGCAATTTTTCTCCCGGCTCGCACCTCGTCACAACAGAGCCGTGTACGCGTACGCCATACGGCGTCGCTCAGGCCAGATGCTTTGCATGGCTTCTTTAGAGGGCTTGCTGCCTTGAGGCATATGCAGTGGCATATCCATAAATTTTCGCAACTCCGTATGGAGGTGCGCCGTATCGGGCGGCTTCGCCGCACCAACAGATTCAAAAGTGCGTTTCCAACTCTTGCCGGCAAAGTAGCTGGGACACTGCATGAGTTCAAAAACCCAGGCTAACGGGTCTATCAGACCCTCACAGGAACCTGCCCTCAGTTCCTGGTACTTCCTCTTCAAATGTGTTTTCAATGGGTGGAAACCTGCTATATCTAACGGTTGGATTTTGTCTGTACATCCGGCTGGTATGTACAGGAGCTGGACACCATTGCGCCGAGCGCACACCATGGTTTACTTTGCGAGATGTGAGGACGCAACATCCAGCAACAAGATAGGTTGAAATGGATAAGGTTTTAAGACTTTGCCTAGATCGCGCACAATCTTGGTGATGTTCTTGCAGGATGTCCAAGCACTTTTCTGACGTACTATGTGCAGCGCCGTTTGTGGCAAGCGCCGCGGGCCCCTCAGCAACTTCTGTGTCAGCTTGGTCTCAGTCCCAAAAAGGTAGTGCGGCAACTTGCCTTGAATATGCGGCGCATCACAAATGATGCTCACATAGGTCAAAGCCCCTCGCACGTCTTGTTTCCAGACAGGCATGCGAAGGACTGGCATGTTCGTGGCCAAAAGCAACGCAGCAGGGCATCATTGCAGCATGGTTGTAGGGAATTTGCTAAGTTTCGTCTTAAATTCAAAAACAGCGGACGGGAGTCTCTGTCCAAAACTTCGTGTTCACTAGTAGAGAGAGTAACTGCCAAAAAAAGGTTCTCACCTGACAGGGCGACGAAGACGAGCAGGGAGGAATAGGAAAACAGGACCACAATGGGGAGGAGGTCCGAATTGCAATTGAGCATGCCCGGCCCATTTTTGGAGCGGAAGAAAAACGTTCGCAAAAACGAGACCCCGTGTTGGAGCCTAGCCTGCACCCCCCGCCCCCCCTGGATGGGTACCTGTGAACTTGTGGGATCGTAGGATCGGCGCCGGCAGGTTCCACTTGGCTCGGAAAGCGCCTGCACCCATTGATTCACATGCCGTCGAGGCGGCAAACCCTCCAGGAGGAGCCAAAACCGCGCTTTCTCCCACGTGGCATAGACATCCAGCGATAGCGGTGCTACACCGACGTGGTTGCAAGCCAGAACCCAATTGAAAGTGTTAGCCTCGGCCAGAAAAGCGGCTGCATGCCGCACTGGCCGTGCCCACGGAGTCGCGGAAGGTGAAAAAATGTGCTGCAAGTCTAAGTCTGTGGTGCTCAAAAACAATCTTCCACCACAACCCGTGTTGTCCCTGAGGTCGGCTTGACTGCTGGCCACAGGGCAGCGAAGCGAAGCGCTAGCTCCATATTGCAGTCCGACAACACATAGACGGCAACGATCGCTTGCAAGCAAGAGGGCTAAAACCTCCAGAGGCTGCTTCCTTCTTTGCTCGGTATCTGGCATGCTTGGCTTGCACTCCGGCCGCTCTGTTTCTGGCAAGGTCTGCTTGCAAAGTTGCAATGGTTTCTGCTAAAGCCGCTGGAGTCGCCGCAGGTGCGTGAGCCATGGGGCAAGGCTGCGGCC